CAACAGCGTGCGCGAGCGAAGCGCCTGGCCGGCGACGAACACTGGGAGAACCACCCTCACCTTGGAGCACCCCGACGAGCGCAGCCCTCTCGCAGCGCACACCCGCGGCAGAAGCGCTGGGCCAAGGCGTCCTGGCACACGCACAAGACTGCCCAGGAAGGGCCGGCGCCGGGGGTCGGGCAGGCCTCGCCTGCCTGGGCTGGGAGACGCAGCTCCCCCGAAGGCGTCTCCTGTCGACCCATCCTGCCAGGCCAGACAGGGGGCCTGTCGGGGAGCCGGGGCCGCCGATTTCGAGGCCCTTTCGTCGGGCTTCAGCTGCCAGCGAAGGGCCCAGGAGGGCCGCTCGCGGCATCCAGTAGCTTCTGGTCTGCCCTCGCGGCGACAGACTGCTCAGTGCGTGCCGCAGCCGTGTGGCACGAGCTTACAGGCTGGCTGCCCCTTGGCCTCCCCCTTCCGAACCTTCAGCGCGGCAAGTTTTTGTTGTTCAGCACGCAACCAACACCAAGACTCACATCACACCCAGCAGCGTGCATTGCGACACCAATCGCAATGCGACTAAAACACAGTGTGAGGCGAAGCGGACACGAGGAGGAGAGAGGCAGAGGAAAGGACGAGGAGGAAGAGTGAACTCCGTGGTAGCCCAAAACGGAGGCCACGCAAGTGCGACCGCTTCGCGGCCGCGGCGACAGCCGCTGTGGCCTCGGCGGCAGCCGAGTCCGCCGCTGCGGTCGCGGCGGCGGCCGCCGCTGCGGCGCGGAAGGTCTGGAAGGTGAAGGCACAGGGTGCGCACAGCAAGCGGGGCGGGGGGGGGCATGGAGAGCGGCTATTTGGGCGGGGGCCCAACGTCGGAATCCATGAGCCAGACGACGTGGTCTCTGCTAGGAAGCAAGCGCCAGGATCAAGACAGCGGCTCGCTCGGCGGCGCCTCGGATCTCCGAGCTGAGGGCGGGATACGCTGGGGCACGGGCGGAGCTCGCTGCGGCACGCGGGGAGAAGGGGAGGCAAGAGCACGAGACGGAGACCACCGCAGGATCCCCACAACGCTGTCGCCTCGTGGGCGAGCAACCTATCCGCTATCCGTACCCGCGGCCTCGCAGGCCCAGCCCCTGGGCCGCGACCCCGCCCATGCGGGGCGCCCTTCCCCGCGGACGCCCCGCGGGGGACGCGGCGACGCACCCGCGCGACCGCGCACGGGCGGCACCGCGCCCCGGCGGAGCCCAAGAGCGCGAGGGCGCGGCCGCGGACGCGTGCTCCGCGCGCGCGAGCTCCGGAGCTCCGCGGAGGCCTCCTCGGACATGTGGGCGGGGGGAGGCGCGCCGCCCCCCCGGCGGGCGCCCGCCGCCCCCTGCCCGCCATCCCCTGCGCGCCGCCCCCGCGCGCGGCCGCGGCGGAGGCCCGGGCGGCGCGGAGCCGCGCGGAGCCGCGCGGAGCCCAGACCCCCGACGTCATGATTTTTTCATGACGTCGGCCCCCAGAGGTTTCGACCCGTTCCCCGGGACCGGCTTTTCATCCTGAGCCGTTTTTTGACGGTCCCGAGGCCCGGCAAGGGCCCCCAGAGCCGAAGACTGCGAAAAACCTTCCGCCGTGATTTTTTCATTGCTCGAGGGGGTCTGGGAGCGGAGGCGGAGGAGGCGCGGGCGGCGGGGGGCCGCTCCCTCGCAGCAGCTGAGGGCCCCGCCGCCTCCGCCGTCGGCGGCCGAGCTCCGCCCGGCCCCACCGGGGCGGGTGGGGCCCCGCCGAGCCGGAAGGCTCCTCGGGCCCCTCTCGGGCCCTCCGCCAGCCGGCGCAGGGCCCCACGGGCCCTCCCTTCCGAGTTCGCCTCCTCCCTTCTTCTCGGGTCGGGCGAAAGGGGGGGATAGCAAAGGGGGGGCTTGAGAGTCAGCTCACGGAGCTGATTTTCCCGCGCCGGAGACGGCTATGTATCGAGGAATGGGCCCCTCGGTGAGGCCGAAACCAGCTGCATGCAGCAGATTTCGTACCCCCCCCCTTTCCCAATCCCCCCCTTTCGTCCGGCCCGACCTTCCTCCTGGCCGAAGGCGCTCCAGGATCGGCAGGCGACGACGACGAAGCGGCCCTCCCCCTCCGGCGGCCCCTTCCGATTTCGCCTCTCCCCTCCCTCCTGGCCGAAAGCGCTCCGGGATAGGCAGGTGACGACGACGAAGCGGCCCTCCCCCTGCCCCTCCTCCGCCGGCGGCCGACGGCCGCCGTGCTGCGCCCCGGGGCACAGACCTCCAGGGCGCTTCGAACCGCGGGAGCTCGCGGGACATCGCGGGACGTGGAGGAGGAGGTGCGGGGATGGGCAAGCTCCGTCGGAAGGTTCGTCGCCCGCCCCTCGATTCATACAGCCGGGGCCTTGACCTAAGGAACCCCAAATAAGGAACGAGGCCCCTCTTTTCCATGAGCCCCAAATAAGGAACCCGAAATCAGGAACCCTAATTTTAATTTAATTAAGGAACCCTCAATAAGGGAACCCTGTGAAACACTCAAGGAACGCGGAGCCCCTCCCCAACCAAAAGGGTTCCTCCTTCAGGGCCCCGACGGCACCCCCACCCGGCGTGCGGGCCCCCGGCGGCGCGCAAGGGGGGGGCCTGGGCAGAGGTGAAGACCCAGAAGGAGATGGGCACCGCCGAGCCCAGGCAGCCCAGCGCGAACTTGTAGAACGGCAGCGGCATGGCCGCGCACGCCTCGGCGTGCCGAGGGCCCCCGACCGCGGCGCGCGCGCGCGCCCCGGCTGGCGCCTGGTAGGACCTCCCGCCGCGATTTTTTGGTGCAAGCCGGGGAGGCGGAAGGCTCTCAGGGGCAAAGAGGCAGGGGAGGAGTGGCACAGAGAGGGGGGGGGGGAACATCGACCTGGAATCGGCGATGCCCCGGGACGTCGCCGGCAGATCGGCGCCAGGCCCCCTAGAGAGCGAATCCGAACGTTCCTGGGCAGGTTGGGGCGATCGGCCCCCTACTGGCGATCGAGCGATCAATGGGCGGTTGGGGGTCGATGTGTCCCCCCTGTGCCTGTCCCCCCAGATCGTCGGCGATGAGGTTCCGCCCAGCAGTGCCGTAGTAGCGCCGCGTCGCGATGATCTCTCTCTCTCTCTCTCTCTCTCCGCAGCCGGCAGGGGTAGGCCGGACCCCTGAGTCCCAGCTGCAGCCTTCTTGTTTCACTTTCGGGTTCCGGACTAGGGTAATTTGATTGCCACTTCCCGCCGCGCAGGTTGGGACGTTCGAGGAAAAAAAGCCTGTCCCCCCAGATCGCTGTCCCTGAGAGACTCGGGTTCGCGGGACTCGGGTTGGCCTGACGGGGCCGTCAGGGAAATGACGAGGCCCACTCTGAAACTTGGCGCGAGCTCCCGCTACAGACGTCCCATGAAAACTGCACCGTCAAAATTCAAAGTGGGCCCGTCAAAAAATGTCACCAAACCCTAGTTGCGGCGAGTCTTACGTTTCCCCGATGCACAGCTTGTCTGGAAGGATTACAGCAACGTCGGGAACTTTTGCTTAGCGTGTCGCGGCGGCGGCCCCCCGCGAAACGCTATGTTGCGAATGGGTAGCGTGTCGCTCCGCTCCACGGGGTGGGAGGCTGGTAAAAGCTCGGGACGTTGACGCCTGGGGATCGCGACGTGGATAGCGTGTCGCGCCGAAACGTGGTGGGCCAGAACCTGCAGAGCGACTCGCTAACAAGGAGCTTCCAAGCGTAATTCATCAAACGTCTGGTGAGGGATGCCAGCCCCCGAACAGAGGAAGAAAAAACTGCGCAAGCATAAACTTTCGACGGCCCGCGCGGATTTCTTTGATCTACGGTCGACCCCCCTTTCCAGGCGCGCGGATCGCGGCAGGGGCGGCGCTGGAGGAATCCGCGCGGACCGTCGAAAGTGCAAGCTTATGCCGTTATTTCTTCTTCAACCGAAATCGTTGGCCCATCGTGGCCCCCAAGGGTAGAGCTGCTCGGGGCCGCGAAGGTGGGCGCTTTGCAATGCCAAGGTTCCTTGGCTGGTGCTCTTCCTGGCCTCAGACCTCCGTCATGTTTTCCGAAAGACCGCACGGGCACAAAAATAAGTAGACGCAGGTCCCGGGATTCCCGATATTAGAGAAACAAGAAAAAACGCTGTAAACATATAAAATGTTGGCGCTCCGCGCGGATTCCTAGGATCTGCGCCGGACCCCCCTCCCTGGCGCGCGGAGCGCGCCAGCGGCGGCGCCGGAGGCGTCGCCAGGCGGGGCCCCAGGGCGGAGACAAGAAATCCGCGCGGAGCGCCAAAACTTTATGTTTATAGCGTTTTTTCTTCTTCGAGATATGACAGTTGACACATTGTCTGGATGTTCGTCTTCCCATCCACCTCCCATGTGTCCTATGTATATTTCCCTGGGAATCGACGCTTAACCCTGAGAGCTCTTTAAAAACCCGCCCCAATAGGGGGTAAGTAATTATGTTTCGGCGGCCGTAGTGAAGGACTGGGAACCCCCCATTAGGGTGTAACTCATGATTTTGTTCCGCGGCACCCGCCGAGCAACAACGACGACGTCAGCCACGACTAAGATTGCGACTGGGACTACGGAGGAGGATAAGGAAGAGGAGGAGGTTTTAGGGCGAGTCCTCTTCACCGCCGACAGAAAAAGGGGGGGACCAAAACCAAAGACCTTTGGCGGTTCTTTGTGGCTGTGTGTTTCTTCTCTTGCTGAATTCTTGCCACAGGGGGGCCATCAAGCAAGGGCGCCCAGGACGAAACACTGCCCCTTGGGAAGGGTCGGGACCTCCCTGGCGCCGCGCACCGAAAAACTCGGCTCGTCGGATGTCAGGGCTAATGATTCGTTTATCGAGTAGGGAATCGACTACAGGATTGATTTACGGACCCCAAATTTGAGTTCCTCGTCGAATCTACAAGAAAAACGTCGCATGTGTCGTGGAATCCACGGGAAAAGCAGGGGTGAATCAGTCCTGTAGTCGATCACCGCATTGCTCCGGTTCTATGCCCGCAGGCTGCCAGCGCTTCTCCCGCTCTTCGGAGGCAAGTGGCCGTCCAGAAATCAGAAACGGCCCTCGACGAGAAGGAGGAGGAGGAGGGGGAGGAGGAGGAGGAGGAGGAGGAGGAGGAGGAGGAGAAGGAGGAGGAGGAGGAGGGAGGAGGAGGAGGGGGAGGAGGAGGAGGGAGGAGGAGGAGGAGGAGGAGAGGCCTGGCCCCCCAAAGCAGGGCTGGAAGCGTCAGGGCCCGACCTCGCCCCGCCGACGGCGTGACTCACGCCCGCGACGCGGGCGCCGGAGGCCCTCGCGCTCTGCGCCGCGGGCTGCCCTCGGACGCGCGTCGTCATGGGGGCATCTCGGGGGCCTCCAGGGCCCGAAGTCACGGGAAGCGCTGGCCCTAATGCGGGATGACGATTATTAAAAAACGGGAGAGAACGATTTGAGCTGCGGGGTGGGAAGCTCCAGTCACGTCAGCCCCGGATTCTAGAAAGGCAGGACCCCGTCGCAGCAGAACGAACGGATGATCGCAGGGAGTCGAAGATAGATGCCACGATATTGGGCTGATTCCCCCGATTGTGGGACGACAGAAACCCAGTACAGTCGGGGCGTTGACCTAAGGACCCCTAAATAAGGAACGAGGCCCCTTTGTCCCGTAAGTTAAACTTTGATTTCGCATGGGAAACCTTAGGAAACCCCAGGACAAGCTGCAAAACCATCAAGAAACACCGAGCCCCTCCCCAACGGAAAAAGTTCCTTCTTCAGCGCCCCAACTGTAATGCGGGATGACGATTGATAAAAAATGAAAGAACGATCAAAAACATAGTGTTCTGCGATTTCTGCACAAATTTCTGACTGGAGGAGAACGATAAAAAAAAAACATAGTTTTCCAGCCCGCGGCCGGATTTTTCAAATCGTCATCCCGGTCGCCGCCGCGTGAACACAACCCCCGGTCATTTATTAATCGTCATCCTCCATTACGGCAGAGGGAAACAATGAGTGGAGACTCCCCCGTTCCCCCAGACTCGAAGTTGGCACGCGCGGGGAAGATTGCGGTCAAAATGCAGCTCGTTCGACCCACCGGCAACATTGATCATTGGGGGGAGGATGGACAGATGAATGCGGCATGTGTTCGCTAATCTCTTCCGAAGCCTGTATCTCTGGGGCGCTCCAGAAGCATCGGGAGGTCTCGGGAAGTGAGGTCCCCAAAGAGGCCTCTCGAGGCCTGGAGGCCCCAGCAAAAGCGCCCACAAGACTTTCCAAGGACTTCGATACTCCCCATTGCACCGGCCTTGCAGACGTGCTGCAGCGGATTTCTGCATGGATTTCCGCCCGAAGCGGCGCGTGAAAAACGAAGTGAATTTCGCGTGGATTGTTGTTCAGTCTTCCTTCCTGGCCCAAAAATCGGGAGCGGCCAAGAGGGGGGTGTCCAAGAGGGGGGGGTGCAAATCATGACTGGCGGCATGTGCGCGGCCCAGCGGGGGGGGCCTGGGACGTAATGAAATAAGAAGAGGCGCCATGACATCTGCGGAGACATCATGGCCGGCGCCATGATATCCACCCCCCCCCCTAGTCATCACCCCCCTCTTTTCCGCCCACGAGAAAGATCCGCGCGAAAGTCACCTCGAAATCCGGAACGAAATCTCCAGGACCCCCCCGATTTCTGCATGGATTTCCGCCCGAAGCGGCGCGTGAAAAACGAAGTGAATTTCGCGTGGATTGTTGTTCAGTCTTCCTTCCTGGCCCAAAAAATCCGCGCGAAAGTCACCTCGAAATCCATAACGACATCTCCAGGACCCCCCCGAGCCCACCCCATCGTGTTCCGAGCGCGATCCGCTCTGCGAGGTTGGCGCCGTGGTGCTCCCCTCCCCTCGGCGCGCGGCCGTCGCTCCGCCCCCCCTCTTCCGCAGGCAGCCAGCGCTTCCCGCCCGCACGCTCGCATGCTTCGGTCTATCCTTCTCGTGGATCGCAGGCGCTACTTTTGGGCGGCGCGCAAGAGTTGGGCGCCCGAGTTATCCGGGGCAACTCGGGTCCGGGGTAACTCGGGTTTGGATTCCCGAAAAAGGAACCCGAGTTAGCCCTGACCCGAGTTACCCCTGATGATGTGGGGCTCTGGACGCCCGAGTTATCCGGGGCAACTCGGGTCCGGGGTAACTCGGGTTTGGATTCCCGAAAAAGGAACCCGAGTTAGCCCTGACCCGAGTTACCCCTGATGATTCGGGGCTCTGAAAGAGGGGGTAGGGGGAGGGGGGAAGGCTTCTTAGAAGCGCCCTGCTTCTTAGAGGGCCTCGGCCCTGCGTCTGGAGAGAAGGCCCGCGCCCTCGAAGAAGCAGGGGTGCTTCTAAAACGCCTACCCCCCTCCCCCTACCCCCCTCTGCGCGTTGCCGAACTTTGTCATGGCCCCCCGTTCTGGTGATCCGCCATCGCGTACACAGCCCTCGGCCGACCCTCGCTGTGCGAGCGCCAGCGCTGCGGCAGAACAGAAATATGTGCGCATTTGTAGGTTGCCAGTGCGCCGTCTCGTTCGAGGTCCGGAATTGGCCTCCAGAGGGGAACGATGATGACAAACCAGCCGCCCAATTCCAGAAGTTCCGATGAGCATATATTCGGATGCTGCAGATGCTCAGATGTTCTCAGTTGCGAGTGATGTTGCATAGAGACGCCCCGCCGTGTGAGAGAGAGAGAGAGAGAGCCGTCCCCGTCCAACGGGGGTTGGCGACCCCAATCCACGACTGTGCAGGGATATTCGACAAGGTAGCAGGGCGGGCGCGTCAATCCTCGGCAGGTGCGGGCCCGAACACAGTAGACACATACGGTAAGATTTCTTGCTAGACGAAGACAAGGGCATGATGTTTGTTGGTCTTTGAGGATTCTAGGTTGCCCTGGAGTCCGTGGGCAAGAAACCTCCGTCGGGTACATGATGGCAGGTCGACCTCCTAATCTGGTGTGCCTACTGAAGCCCCCCCCTTGGGGCGCATCCCTGAGTTCCCCACCGTGTCTGCGCAGCCCCAGCTGCGGGGTGAGAAGCTCTGGTCACGTCAGCCCCGGACTCTAGAAAGGCAGGACCCCGTCGCAGCATGATGATCGGAGGATCGCAGGGAGCCGAAGATAGATGCCACGGTATTGGGCTGATTCCTCCGATCGTGGGACGACAGAAACCCAGTACAGTCGGGGCGTTGACCTAAGGAACCCTAAAAGGAACGGGGCCCCTTTCTCCCATAAGTTGAACTTCGATTTCCCGTGGAAAACCTCAGGAAAACAGAAGGCAAACTGTCGAACAATCAAGGAACACCGAGCCCCTCCCCAACGAAAAGGGCTCCTTCTTCAGGGCCCCGGCTGTATCCCCTGCGACCAGTAGTTCCGCGCTCCAGACTTCTGACCAATCTCCCGTCAGGACTCCAGTGCGTCCCCCCCCACGGCCACAACAAGAGGCCACGCGCGGCACCAGTCAGCGGGCTGGCTCCTCTTCTCTTCTCGTGCGCCCGCGCTGCGAGGAGCGACGCTCCCCCCCCCCGGCTGTGCTGCGAGGAGCGACGCCCCCCCCCCCCCCCCCCTTCCTGACGAACGATCAACACGCACCCAGACCCATAGGGGGGACGGAATGAGCTATGGGTGCGTGCTGTCGGATGGGGGTCCCCGCTCGCACAGGAGCCTTCCCAGGGGTCCGACAACCCGCATCCATACTAGATAGCCAGCCCTTCTCCCTCCGACCTCCCCATGGGTATGGGTGTGTGTTGTTCGTTCGTCGCCTCCCCCCCCCTCCTCTCTGCCCCTACCAGCCTGGAACACATCCCTATCCCTAATTATGCTGGGCACCTCCCCTATCACGATGCAAATCTCAGGGATTCCATTCCTTTTTGAGGGCGAATCCCTGAGAGCGTCATCGCCTTTTGGCGTGCCAATCTTAGGGATAGGGATACGTTCGAGGCTGGTAATGCCCCTGCCGAGTCGAGATGCCCGAGCAGATGAAAGAGCAAAGACCGGAGGAGGAGGAGGAGGAGGAGGAGGAGGAGGAGGAGGAGGAGGAGGAGGGAGGAGGGAGGAGGGAGGTGGGCGGAGGGAGGAGGGAGGAAGGGGAGGAAGGAGGGGGGGTGAGGAGGAGGTGGAGGAGGAGGAGGAGGAGGAGGAGGAGGAGGAGGAGGAGGAGGGGCCCGGCCCCTCCCCTGCCTCGGCGCCCCCCGGCGGCGCTCCCGTGGGAGGCCCGCCCGCGCCTGCAGCTCCGAGGGCCGTGCGGCCTGCCGCAGACGCGGGCGACCTCCGCGCCACGGCGGGCGGGAGAGCGGGCTGGCGCGAGGTCGGGCCTACAGGCGGCTTTTGGACGAAAAATTGAAAATAGTCAAAAAATGATCCCAAATGGCCATGAATAGTCAAAAAGTCGTCCCCAGACTTTTTTTTCTATTTTTGAATATTCCTCCTGTAGGGGGACAGGCCCGACTTGAGTGTGGACACCATTTGGCCGGCGTATGGCAGACCCACTAGCCAGTGCAGGCCCGGCAGCGCGGGGTGGCGGCGTGGCAGAACAGGGGGCCGCCTACAGGCGGCTCTTTTGTCGGGGAGACGTAAGACCCGGGTACGGGGGACTCGGAAATCCCCGACGAGGTCGTCAAAAAAATGACGAGGCCGCGCCTGCATTTTGACGAGGCCTCCCGCTGCAGACGTCCCACGAAACTCCTCCTCGTCAAAATCCGAGGCGCGGTCGTCCCGACTTTTGGACGAAAAATCAACAATACCCAAAGAATGGTCCAAAATGTTTCACGACATGCCAGAAAAATCGCCCCCGGACTCTTTGTTTTTGCTATGCTTGAACGTTCCCCCCTGTAGAGGGACAGGCCCGACTTCTGAAGGCTCGCGTCATCCCGGGAGCTGCGGCCGAGGCTGCGGGCGATACGTATATCCATATCCAGAGCGTCTTGGACTTTTTGGGAAGGGGTGTCGCCAGGCCGAGGCGCACTGGATATGAGTAAAAATATAACCTTGTGGGGCCAGATCTTTATCCATATCCAATGCGAGAGCCCGCCATGTTCGCGGGCTTCCGCCCGCCCGGCCCGCACC